ATGTCAGGTATAAACATTCAGCCGTCTTGAAGAAGTAATGCGGGCAATACCATCAAAAGCGGTAGTTCATGAGAGCAAGTATTGGAACGCAGCGGCGCAGCCCCATCCGTGTAGTATGAGTTGCGAAACAACCACTATGTCAGCCGAAATGTCAAGCGAACGTTGCCGATCTCCATCAAACACCAATCCGACCACGGTGAGAATGCAGTGTTACTGTAAAATTTGTTCACAAAGCCATGCTTATCCCGGCATCGGATTTACCGTCAAACAGTGATCGATTGCCTTTGATTATTTGGATTGCTTCCCCCTTGGTACGACCCCCTCTCTCGAGTCCGCATCGAGCGCAACAGGTAAGTACTGTCTACTCTGACGAGCATAGGTGAACCGCACGTGGGAACAACGGCTATAATATTTGATGCATGCCTCAACCGCCTTGAACCGCACGTTGTGTCGCGTAGTCATCAAGTTAAGGAGCCTGGTCGGGTGGCGGTGCTGCTCTAGGTTGCCTACCCACTATCGTTCCCGAATCCCCATCCTTCAAAAGGTCTCTCAACTATCTGGCGGCACGCAGGACCCTCGAGTTGAACCACATCGGTCGACTCCAGAACTATGCATCACAGTATTTCTACCTCGAAAGTCATCTATTCGATGCTCCCATACCAGCTCGGAGGCAGCCGACCACACGGTAGATTGCTGTATTCGCCTGTATATTGATGAAATCACTAATTTACAATGATTTGCCTTGTACATAGACAGGAAAACATCTTCACCCCCACTATGGCATCCATTCGTTCTGTCGTTAGGGCCATCGCTGATTTTCGGCCTCGTTCTGCTAGGAGCTGTGGCAGGGCTAGAGGTCTTCGTCCGGCTATCAGACTTGCACACGGGCTTCCCAGTACCGACCACCACATTGCAGAATCTAGCCACTTATCTGCCTATCGCATCCGTTATTGTGATAGGGTGGGTTTGGCAGGCCTACGCAGTGGAGGTGAAGAAACTTGCTCCGTGGGCATCAATGTCCGCAGGTCCAGTACCTTCAGATGCCTCCGTCCAGCTGGACTATACCGGTGCAAATCCATTGGTAGCAATGGCATTAGCTATACGCAAGCGACACTACAGCATACTGGTTTCCACCCTAGGGACGTTGGCCGTCGCTGTGTGCTCGATCGTCGCCGCAAGCATCTGGGACATAGAACCCACTCCCCGTGTCCTCCCCGCTAGTTTGCAGCGCAGTGGCACCTACAACGGTTCATCCCTCGAGGGCACCGCGGACATTGCTCACTCTCTCAGCCGCTACCTCGCACGGACAGTACTACAGCTCCCGACACCCTCATGGATAACCGATGACTACGTGATTTCTCCTTTCAACTCAAGTAGCATAGAGCCAGGGATGATTCTTTCGGGGACGACGCAAGGCTATAATGCCAACCTCACGTGCGAGAAGGCCGATGTTTCACTCTCCAACAATGGCACGAATGTTACGATCACATACGCTGGAGTGTCGCAAATGGTGCCGTGTGATGTGTTTGTCGACGAGCCCGGAAACTGGACATACACTGCGGATCCCTATCGTATGTCTTTTGAGCCGCGTTATCATTGTCTGACCATGCTAATGTCGCCGTTTGTACCACAGTCTATACGGGAAAAGTGTACAACTGGACGGTCGGGTCTAGCACCCCTGCTGTACTCCTAGCGACCCAGCTACTTCCTCCGAACAACTGCGCTTATGCGACCGCTGTCGGCTGTGTCGCGAGCTACACGGTCAGGGACGTGGTCGTCTCTGTTGACGCTGAGACCGCAGCCTTCAACCGCACGCCACGCGCGGCGGGCACAGCCTCCAGTGTATCATTTCCCGGAGGTGGATACCTTTTACAGACCATCGACAACAACAACGGAGTGACTGGCTCGCCTTGGAACTCCGAGGCGCAAGGACACGCCGACAACGACGACCCTTTTGCCTACATACCGTGGTCAACTTCTCCTCCTGACATAAAGGAAGTGGGAAACTACAGTCCTTGGTTCCACCTTCTCCGGCATCTTCTCCTTCTAGACCCGCAGCAGCTCATGGATGCCGAAGCCATCGCACAGGGCTCGCAGAAGATCTTTAGCGATATATGGCGGAACGTCATTCAACCAACGTCCGCATCTGGCCTGTTTCAGGGCACGGCCGCGGTCGCGGACCAACGCCTTAGTAGCCGAGTCGGCTCTGTCAGAGCCATCCAAGTTTGTCTTTGTGTTCTGGCTGTGATCGCCGTCTTCGTCGTCCTCTGGAGGCCGCGTGCCTGCCTTCCTCGAGACCCGTCATCCTTGGGCTCCATCGCCCTAATTCTTGCGGAGAGCGAGGGCTTGGCCCGCAGACTGGAAGGCACGGGCGCCGCTAAGCCCGATGCCTTAGACAGTCATGTACGCGATTCGAAATACCAATTGGCAGTCGACCCTAATGGCACAGTGGGCATCATGGTCGTGTCCAATGAGACGGTACGTGGTCTTCACAAAAGTGAATTTAAGTAAGACGTTTCTTACCTCCGAGCTATAGGATGCCGACTCTTCGGCCTCAGCATCGTTGGTTCCACCCAACGGCTCGGAGCATCGATTCGACTGGACACCACCCGTATTATATCCAGTAGCGAAACTCGCTTTGGCAGTCATCGTTCTAGCCCTCATTGCGGTCCTGGAGCTGCTAGTGCAGCTCAGTTCCAAGCGCAGCGGCCTGGTTGATTTCAACGGACACCGTGCCCAGAGATATGCATGGTCATACGCTGGGCCGGTCATACTCTTCCTGGTGGGTCTAGGCATAGAGATCTTCGACTCTGCGGTTCGAGCGATGCACCCCTTTGTGCTCCTGCGCCGCGCTCCTCAATCAGGAAACCGACTGACGTACGACCCGCTTCACCAATCGGTGATTACATTACCTTTCCACGCGCTCCGGCATCGACAGCCTATGGTGCTCATAAGCACCTTGGCTGTGCTCCTCCTGCTCGTCGCGAAGATCGCGGTTGCTGGTCTGTTTACCATTGATCAGGTAACGCGCGTCACGAGTGTGCAGGTCGGTCTGAATACCACGTTCGCCTGGAACAATACCGCCCTCGCCGATACCATGGCTACAGGCATCACCGCGCCCCTCCTTAACCCCAACATTCCTGGCTACGAGTCGGGTGACGACAGCTACGAGGTTCCCCCACTACAGCTCATCGTCAATGCGGGCCTGCAGACACCCAACTGGACGGCCCCCAAGATTGCCGTGGGTGCGCTCTCCGCGGATCCTAACTTCCAGTATCTGCCGGCTAGTTCGAGATTGACGGCGCGCCTTCCCGTCCTGCACAGCGACCTCGTCAACTGCACTGCTCCACCATATATCAAGCGCGGCGGCAACGCTAGCACTGGTACTTTCGTCGTTCTACCGCAGATCCCCTGTGTAGCCGACTATGGAGGAGCGGGAACTAGCGGCTTGGACTACGTCGTCACCTTGGACGAAACCAGCTATGCAGGCGCTGTTTTTCCTGTCCCCGGACGCAGTGATGGTAATGACGTACAGCTCAACTGCTCAACTATCTTCTTTCTTTTCGTGCGCAGCGACGATATAAATCTCATTGCATGCAACTATACCATGACTCAGTGGGTCGTCTCCCCGTGACATTCGATTTGATTAGCTCACGGATGAACTGTTGCAGATCTACGATGGAGGTGGACTTGGCTATAGACTCCCCCACGGGTTACCACGTCTTGGCGGTCAACCGAGCTTCGGAGCAAGACATCACAACGATTGATGAGTTCAGCCAAATGCCACTCATCTTCAGTGGCTTGCCCTCACTGGACTCTATTACCGACTTGGCCTATACTCGCAACAACAGTGCCAACGAGGCATTCTCCGGCGACGTACCGTATGAACTCTTCCACAGCGGCCCGTTCGACTATCTGTTCACCGCCATCACTGCCAACATGTCAGACATGGACTCCCTGCTCGACCAAGACTCTCTGATCACTGCTGTCCAGTCCCAATGGTCGCAATACTTCGCGCGCCTCGCCGACTTTTACATGCGAGTCCCTGCGGACGGGAAAACGGCAGTGTCAAGCGTCTTGGCAGCTCCGCAGCAGCGCATCTTCATCGAGCCCAAACCTGCACGCATCCTAGAAGGACTACTGGCGGGGATATTCGTCTGTGTCGTGACGGTCTCGTTCACGCTGAAAACTACGGGCGTTCTTCCGCGTCCACCCTACTCCATCGCATCGCGCATGAGTCTTCTAGCGGGGAGCGAACTGCTTAACCTACCAGAGCTAAAGGAACCTGGCTCACAGCAGGTGTCGACCAATATGCTCGAGAAACGGCTGCAAGGGACGTGGTTCAAGCTGGGATGGTGGGAAGACGCTACAGACGGAAAAGGATTGCGGTACGGGATTGACGTGGATGGCGCTGATCGTGACACGGAAGTGTTGGACGACTATGCGCCTGGCGATCTGCAGAGTCCGCAAGCCGAGACTTATGAACTGGTGAGTTCCATTTCAAGTTGCCGCCAAGTGTAGGGCGAATTGAAGGCTGACGCTTAGTCCTCTGCAGCGGCCTAACCTGCCAGTGCACCAGCGGCTTGGCCGAAGCATTTCAGATGACATTGAGAAGCTGGTTAGTCCCTCAGACACTTAACACCCCCTATAACACTGTGGGCGCCGCTACTATGTAGTACTGCCGAGTCCACGTTTGGATCCACGACTCGCATGAATTAATCCGGAGAATACGACTGAAACGACTATTCACATCTTCCATGATACCTATTTACATGTAAAAAGCCCTGTTGCAGTCTCAATTGCGGAATCTCTTAGTACCAGTACTTCGAAGCGGACCATCCAATTCTTTCGCGCGCGCGCGAGTGTGGCGCAAGTGTAGTAGCAAGTGTAGCGACAGTGACGGCACTCAGCCACCGATCTGCTTTCAAGCGGTATCGACTCATCACAGACGTCGGGCCGACTCTGATCCACGTTGACTTCATTTCGCAACGATTACCTTCCCGTAACCAACTTGTCAATGCCCTCCGATTTCAAGCTCAAGCTTCAAGCTGAATGTCGCGCTCAGATCAAACATACTCTCAGACCACCCAAGCAGCACCGACGCCACGGCCTCCGGATCGAGTAATCGACGTGCCGGCGGTGGCGGGGTGGGACCCGCCGGCCAAGCTGAACGGAACAGCAAATCTATCTCTTGACTACCTCTTCCTCCTGAGCTTTCTTGCTTTCTATGCCTGTTTCTCGATAGCAGCTCCGGTCTTGTTAGAAGAGGTCCTCGCTGCGCTATACTGACCAGCAGACCGACTTCCTGCTCAGGAGAGTTCATTGATCCAGCGCTGGTCACTCCGGGTTCTGCTTACATTCCCCCTCCGAAGCGCGAACGCAGAAGGGCATCTGAAGCTTGGACCAAGTCCTTCTTTCTTCGCCCAAGGAGCAACCAAGGAGAAATGACAGCTCTGAACTCAGGGTCGAAGACCTCGCGGTTCCCAACATTACCATGGGGAGTCGCTCCCCCAGCCCCGCCGAGGAAACCGTACTCACCGGAGAGAGTGCTTGAGGACATCCCTGGCCTGAACTATGCGCTGCACCTGTTCCTGTCGTCACAGATGGTAGAATCCGAGCAGTATTGTGAGGAGTGCGATCCCAAGAGGTGCGATTCATCGTATACATATTGACTGTGCTTCACACAGCCAAATAGCGAGCACCTCTACTTTGCAACGGGCTACGGCCTGATTCAGTGCTTCAAGGGCCTGATGTCCTTCGAGGACGAAGTACGCCTTTGCGCGCGCAGGAGGTCCGAGAGCTGATCATCTACCCCTATTCTGTAGGATCTCCTTGCCGGTTTGAACCACGTCAAGAATGGCAATGCTGTCGCGAGTCAGCATCGGAAGCGAGTTGCATCCTTGCCAACGCGACTAGCAGGTCTCGTTTTAGGTTCCTTGAATACGTCTGGCGTTGGATGGATTAAGAGCATGACACTCGTCGAGCGTCACGCGGAACTGGTCTACGCAGAAAGCCTATTTGAGAAGGTGAGCATCATTTATAATCCTTTGAACACCTCCCTTAGCTTGAGTAAGGCGTTACTCGGCATTGTCTACTCCGGAGATTGGCTCGCCTTCATCAAAGAAGCGTGAGTACTTGTACCTCTGCGCACATAACCCGCCTTGATCCCCGTCGGCCAGACTGAACCTCCGCACGACGATCAATATCTACCGCCAACTCGGACAGTTCGTCGAGGTGGCCGACGCGGAGGCGCAGGCGCGCGGGGACGGACCAGAGGATGCGTCCATTGATGCGCACTTTCGCTCGGGTGTCTGCCTCGGCGTGGGCATGTCAAACGTGATACTGTCGCTGATGCCATCGAAGGTACTCACGGTGATTGAGCTGTTTGGGTACAAGGGCGACCGCCATGCGGGCCTTGCGTACCTGATGAGGCCTGGAGGGTGGTCGAAGGACGCGCCGGAACCGGCCGTTGGTATCGGTGCGAGGGCTCCTCCTGGCTTTAGCTGGGAGTACATCTAACGCTGTGTGACAGAGGTGGAAGGAATTCGCCGTCCTATCTGCGACATGGCGCTGCTTCTCTTCCACCTTGTCTTCTCGAGCTTCACTTACGACGGTGTCGACATCTCCATGGCGCAGAAGCTCCTCGACTACCATCAGAAGCAGTATCCGAATGGTTTGTGCGTTCTACCCCCGCTTCTCTGCCTTACACTGAAGCTGTCATATTTCAGGCGTCTTCTTCCTCTTCGGCCAGGGCCGACTGAGTATCTGCCGGGGTCAGCCCGCGCAGGCGATAGAGTACTACCGGCGTGCGGTGGCTGTGCAGGATCAGTACAAGAACATGCACCACATCTCGCACTGGGAGATCGCCGTCGCGAATCTCTCGCTCTGGGACGTCGCTGCATCGCTCACAAACTGGCGCGCGCTTGCTAAGGACGCGACTGTAGGCGATTCAGAGCGTCTCCTGTGGATATTGTACTGACTACATATCAACTAGTGGTCCAAGGCTACGTATACATATGGCGTCGCTGTCTGTTTGCTTGAGCTCGGTGACGAGAAGCAGAAAGAGGAGGCGGACAAGGCAATGAACCAAGTCCCGAACCTGCGCCAACGCATCGCGGGCAAGTCCATCCCTATCGAGGTCAGCTTTCCTTTCTCTTCATCCCTGTTCATAGCACTCATCAAGCGCTTCCTCTAGAAATTTGTCGCCCGCAAAGCGCGCAAGTTTCACGAGCAGAAGGGCCGGCTCGCGCTTGCCGCGCTCGAATTCAGCTACCTCTTCCTTTGCATCCAGCATGCACCGCGAAGCGTCATTCTCGCGCATATACTCCCCAGACTAACGCGCTCCTCGCGGAGCTCCAGGGCTACTGCGGCAAACCCGCAGCGTATGACGGGTGCTTCTGGGATGATTGGTGTCTCGCGCAGTTCCTGAGAGGCGTGTCTCTGCGGTATATTGCATATCCGGTACATCCTCTATCATTGAGTCACATTGTACTGCATGCTCATCTGTGCAACTCGCGCAGGATGCGGATACGGTGGTGGACCCGGAGGAGAAGCTCGGCATGTCACAAGCTGACGCGGAACGTGATTCTGTCTTGGCTTTCGAGGAGATCTTCAAGGACGGCGACAAGATAACGCTCGACCATTATTTGAACTATTACGCTCGTATGTGTCGCTCTTCGCATGATGCGTGTCGTGTTCCGACCGCTCACTACATCAGACTTCGAGTACGGTCGCCTTATGGCGTGCAAGGGCGACAAAACGAGCGCCAGGGAACATCTGGAGCTCGTCATGTCTGGTATGCCTCCCATGTGTCTTGTAGAATCGATGCTGAACAACGGTCAGGAAAATCTCTCGAGGGCCCTGGAGTACACAGAAAGGGCAAGTACAGCATGGAGGTTTGTACCTATCTTTTGTCTACAACGACCTGCTCTGACTGATCCTCTTACTACCAGAATGCGCTTCACGTCCGTACACACGCCGCGCTCGAGGCGTTGGATCGTAAGGACCGACTTTAGGTTATTGACGATCATGCTGTCACACATCGGACCTATATATGACATGATATATACGACATCTCTGCACTTAGCCCGGGTATATAGACCGCGATCTGGACTGTCTTGTCGTTCGTAATTGTTGCTGCTGCTTTCGCTGTCGTAACTTATCATCCGTGTATCCGCGGTATATGCCGCGCATCTCTAAGGGTCCAATATAGCTTCAACGTCTAAACCACGCTCATTGTGAGGCTCAACTTCATCCCGCTGCTGGCAAGAAAACCCCATAACTCAACAACTGGTACTACATATTACCCCGCGATCTCAGAACCACAGGCAGCGGGCCCTTTTGCAACGCAAAATAATCCCTCAGGTCCCTCTCCCACTGTTTTACATCATAGCCCTCCACCAACCGCATCTCAAAGCTCCGCACCATCCACGCTAATATCATCCGCATCGAAAGCAACGCAACTGGGCGCCCTACGCAATTAGGCGGGCCACTCGAGAACGGGACGAACGCGCTCGTGTTCGTGACGACGTCGGGATCATCCTTGCGCAGCCAACGCTCGGGCCAGAACCGGTCGGGGTCTGGTGAGAAGTAGCGCGAGTCGCGGTGTAGGACATATGGAGGGACGAGGATAGAAGTGCGTTCGTCGATGACGAGGGTGGGGCTGATCTGGTGTGTCCCGGTGCCCGGCTGGGGTGCACGCTGCAAGGATGTAGGGATGGAGGGGTAGAGGCGGAGGCTCTCATTACTACATCGCAAGTAAGGGCACGCAGACGGTCATGGTACATCGATGATGACTTACATCACGGCATTGAGGTATTCGAGGCTCGAAAGCTTGGCTGCGTCGACGGGATCACCGGCGCCAGGCGGGAATGCCACGTCGACCTCCTCACGAAGGTGTTGATAGACGTCTGGATGGGCGAGGACGCAATAGAAGGTGTTGCACAGTGCGACCGCAGTCGTGTCCGAGCCTGCGAGCATCGCTGTGACTGCGTTTGTCATGATTACCGGGAATGGTGTCTGCTTTTCCGGGTTGGGCACTTCGTCGAGCTTGGACATCATGTAAGTACGATGCCATTAGTAAGGTGACAATGGGACGGACTAGGTGGTAGAAGAGATCATTCGTTACTGAGCCCTCCTGTAGCCTCTTGGTGACACACTTGAACGCGAACTGGCCTAAAGCCTTCATGTGCTTGCCGACCCAAGGCAGGTATGGTAGTACAGGCGCCACCCAAGGAATCTGCTGCGTAAGTGCAGGTAGGCTGTTATGCGCGCAATCTACCAATCAGTTATCTTGAGCCAGAGGAGCTGCGCATAGGACGGCTTACTGCAGACCTGCAACCATGGTACGGTAGATGCCATCTCTGTCGCCGTCGTGCATGAGCTCGAATCCACCTCCGAACCTGCTAGTCAATTAGCCACTTCGCCATGGAATGATACAATTAACCACGTACACCATATCGCCCATGAAGTCAAAGCTTCGGGCAGTGGGTAAGAGAATCGAACACAAGCAGCGAAGATGGGGAGTCTCACATGCAGTAACTCAACCATAACGACAGATCCACCGATCCGGTTGCACCTTTTTGCTTTAGTTCGTCGATTAGCTGTGCCGCTCTGCGCGCCAGGATGGGTTCGTAGTCCTTCATAGCAGCTGGCGTGAACGCGCGATTCCATGTCTTTCGGGCTTCTGCGTGGCGATCCTTGTACCGGTTGCCGATGAGGTTTCCGCGATTGTTCTTCGCGCCTGCGCCCCTCTTTCCGGAGATCCGGCGGCCCTCCCAAACTGTTCAAGCTCATCAGCGGAAACTCAGCGACAGGTTACCTGAGGAGTACATACGAGGTCCTTTGGGCATGCCTTCGGAACCCAAGATACGGGACAGCAGGTCTACATCTACCACGGACAGCTCGTTGGGACCTACAGGCAGATGAGACATTTCAACAGTAGATCCGCTCATGCAACGAACCGATGCGAACGATGGGTCCATATGTAGCATGCAGTTGCCGCGTGTACTCGTGCAACTTCCCCGTGTTTGCTGTGTAGACCATCCATAGCTTCGTCACTTTGCAAAGCAGAGGTCCCGGATAGATAGTGAGAGGGTGCGTTGATGATAGGCGGTATGCTATGGTAGCTAGTAGGATGGAGCAGTAGTATGCGGAATACGCCACCAGCGAAGCTAGCAGAGTCGAGCCTATTTGTGCCCGCAAGACAGCCGCGGGGAGTGCTGGGACAAGTAGCAAAAGCGCAGCCAACCACTCAGCATTTTTAGCCAGAGATTCGTGTGGTTGGAGCACCGTCCGGTGAACAGCCTGTTGCAAATCAGCTCACCCGCTCAGGAAGAGGAGATGATGATGCTCACGTATCCGAGCAATGCAGCTGTGAGGGCACCTCCGAGAATTTCAAGGGAGGGCATGTCTCGAGATCCTCCAATGCAGCTTGTAATCCGCAGTGGTAGGACAAGACGGTAGAGCTACTGGTAGTGAACGTTACAAGTGCAGTGGCTGCGTACAGTGGTACTTATCAGCCGTTCGACATGCACAATAGCAAATACTTCCGAGTGAGAAATAGCCTTATGGATGAGTGCCGCGAGCAGAATCAGCAGCCTCTAACGTGGACGATATGAGGGTCATCCACGCGCGATCCAGGCGTAGATGAGTCTAAACTTTAGCACCTGAGAACAATCTGCCAGTGAGAACTCGCAGCGTTTAGGCGGCCGAAGCGAGCAGTGGAAACGGTACGTGTATTACGTAAGATGCTGGCACATAAGTATGAACTTCGTGATATTTGGCGCCCGCTCCGAGTCCTCTCACCGCGCACCGGGCGCATCGCTGGTACTTGTCTTTTCTTGTCACATACGGTTCCGAACGCGCTCAGATATCAGCAAGCTATGTTTGCAAGCCTCAGCAGAACGTCGTCACTCTGCCGCATGAAATGTCCCATGTGAGCATGTGAGTGCAAGGGCTGTCATCGAGATTGCTGCCATGCGAAACATGTGAGCTCATCTACTAATAGAAGCCAGAAGCTGTTTATAAACGGAGGGCGAGAGCACACACTACTTCCTGACAGATGCTGATGAGGACTTGTGCTAGGTTTGTGTTAGGTCGTTCTCCATCCAAGATACGGGATGTGTTGGACACACCCAAGACACTCGTTGAACAGTCAATCGAGGCCGATCCGTTGAGCCTATTCACCTCTCCCACTCGGTGCGCTTTTCTCTGCCTCGGCCACATCTAGCGGTGTGGAGGTTGAACGTGAGGCGACGTGTACTGTATATATGGCACTCTTCTTCACCCATGCGTTACAAGAAACACTAACCAGTACTTTCCGCAGACACAGAGCAGAAGGGCCCCAAATCTCCATCACAGGGTGTTCCCCACGCTTGAGCAGAGAGCAATGCAGTGCCTAGACGGCGTTCCCCGGCGATCATAGCGGTGAACATGGCATGATAGAACTTTCTGTCAAGAGTCTGGACATCGACATCCAGTGGCCCCGACTTCCACCTCAACGTACCCTCAGGGCCTCTTCTCGGCCACAGATAGATTGTGCTGGAGACGCTGACTGAGTGATACGATGCTGACATTCCGTCTAGTAACTGCTCATGCATCAAAGGAGTCTCCTCTCCAGCCGTCTTCGGGAGGTAGGGGGCCCCGTGTCCCTTCACTGTACAATGTCAAGCGGAAGGAGAGGAGACTGGCATCAGGCTTCCATTGATGCTCCGAAAGGCACTCTGATAAGTAACCTCGACTGATTTCTTCAATCTTCCGGCTGCGCAGTGACCGTGGTCCGTATGCACTTCACTTAACTGTTGTGAATAATCTCTGACACTGGCATGTCATCAATAGGAGCATGCAATAGAGCGTTTGACGTCTCAACGCAATCCCAACGTCTCACGGGCTGCCAGTAGTGCATTAATAGTAGGTACTGATGCAACTGGCCCGAAGAATGCGTCATGGGACGCCACCGCATACTAATGTACTCCTGATCGATCGCACGCTCGGCTCCGTTGTCGTCAGGCCGCGATCTCTCTGACAGAATCAATGCCTCCATATGCCTCCTCTGTTGATCAGAAGCTTCGGCACTGAGACGATCTCGCAAGTCCCCCGGGTCCTCTGCGTCCGACAATGCGTCTCTCGAACCTTGTCAAATGCTCCTCAGACATATATGTGACCGCTTGACAACTCATCGGCGCGGCTTTCACCTCCCAACTCTGTTTCCCTTTTCACCTGTGCGCGCGGCACAATACTGAACATGCCCGTCTACATCGCAGGCACAAATGCGAGGACGCCCATCACTTCGATCGCTCTGCAGTCGCTCATCTATGGTGAGTTCTCCTTCGCGAACACATTGAAGTGTGGTTCGGACGCCGACGCCGACAAATCGATGACCCCTCGTAGGCTTCTCGTGCTGCATGTTCGGCATGACAGTGTGGATACTCGGGGTACAGCGCGGCCTGCGGGGAAGTCATATCATGCTCGCGACCGCGTTCCTGTTGTGGGCCTTACCAACCGTCGTCAGTCTGTTCTATACTACTCTTCGTGCTCGTGCTGATATTGCAATATAGCGACTATGCATCGACATCAACCTTACGGTCACAGCATTCGTCGACCACATCGATGAAGGGCAGCTCGGACCGCAGAAATACCTCTCTACGTTCTCTACCCCGGTGTCTCTTACAGACAACGCGATTTACGGACTACAGACACTCATAGGTGATGCTGTTGTGGTGAGTCACAAGTGTTCGCGCGTCGATCCAGCGCAACCACTGAATGACCCTTACTTGTGTAGATATACCGCTGTTACGTTGTCTGGCAGACCTGGTGGGTCATTGTGCTACCGTGCATTGCATGGGTAGGTGGTCTGGGTATGTCATCAGTGCACGTCTGTGTTTGCGCTGTGCTCAGCTAATCCTATGTTCGTGTAGGGAGTATGATGTACATCTTGTATATGTTCGCGAGCGGGGTCATCAACGGCGAGCGTGGCCTCCTAATCTATATCTTCACCTTCGTCGCGAACGGTTCTGCAACCGGTACACATGTCTTGCTTCTCAGAGCGCACGTCGGATATTGATCTATCTATAGCTCTCCTTGCATACAAGATCTGGACTGTGGAGCGCCACGCCAGGAAAAGCGGCGTCAAACGGGGTCACGGCAGTCTCTGGCCCGTCATACTAGTGGTCGTCGAATCTGGAGCGTTGTACACGGCCATCCTCATCGTTGCGCTGGTGACCGCCATACACGCTCTCCAGGTCGAATATGTCATCAACAGCTTCGTAAGTGTATCCCCGTCTGTTCAAATCTGTGTCCTACCGCATTGTAACTCCATTGCTCTCAGATACCGGCACTCATATCTGTCATTTTCAACACTATCTTCATCCGCATCGGCTTGAGCAGGCGATCAAATTCTACGAGCGGCGGGTCGGATAGCACCCCTTTGGAATCGGTCGTCTTTGCGCCGGCGACGTTTCACAGCACCGAGAAGGACTTTGGTACTCACTTGGCGACGAATCATCCTGCGCTGTTACAGAGCTCGTCTTCTGCGGGTGAGAGTGAACCATCTCCGGTGTAGCCTCTATGACGATGTCGGCCTAAGGGTAGATAGTCTTGCGGGTTGTTATGTATTATAATGTTGAGTCTGCGAGCATCAATCAGAGACTGGGAGCTTTACTTGCGACACTATTGGTTGGAGGTATTTCTGACTTAGCCTCATAGTCTCGAAACATCGCCAGTGCATCGTTACCGGGACTCGGTAACTGAGCCATGACAACTTGGACGATGGTGATTAATGTCAGTGTTTCTGACCTTGAAATTCGGCAACTGTGCTAGAACTCATCTACGTCCCGCTCCCTCTACTTTTCTCCCGCTTCCCCTCTTCTCCCCCTCTTCCTCCTCCTCCTCCTCCTCCTCCTCCTCCTTCCCGTCGTGAGTCGAGATCATTGCTTTCTGTCTGAGGTTAGGACATGGCGCCAATCTTATCTTATCTGCCAACGTGTTATAATCCCGAATACGTCAGTCTCTGAACATCGCAGGTCGCGGCGACTCGCTGCTCATCCGAGACCTCCATGTCCGCGAGCCCATCCAGTCCTTCTAGTCGTCGTGCATCACATTCAACACATCCTCCTCGCTGGCGACGAACCATCTCCGCGACAAAGAGCCAGCAGCCAGCCAGTATTTCGCTAGTCTACGCGCAGCCCGAGCAAGGTTCGAAGCTGCGCTCCGCAATTGACCAGCTACCCGCCCATGCGCTGGACGACAACTCGAGCTCGTCGAGTATCATGTCGAAGAAGCGGGAGCGCTTGTCATCGACCTCTACAGCTGGGAGAGAAACGGATATCGGGGAGGGCGATGTGGACCGCAAACGCACCCGAACTCAGTCCGCGGCTGCGCAACATCTTAGTCCAGCGTTGATCCCACCACCTGAGGAAGAGGCTGTACAAAGTTTGCCCATAGACGACGCAGACAGTCGTAAGTAATGGCAACGTGCATGCTCGCTATACAAGTCCTCGGTTCTGATCGGCATGATTGGATAGCTACAGCACCCTCTGACGCGTTGACATCGCCACCACCGACAACCGGACTATCAACGGAAACGGCTGCAGTGTCCACAGAGGCGGTGCCGTTTCCAAGCTCCGAGCGCGAGCCGAAGCGACTGTCAACTCGTTCGTCGTGGTTCGGATCCTTGTCTCGCTCTAGAGGAAAAGACACAGTGAGAAGTGAGGAAACGCAAAGCAGGCCGACCGCGGAAGATGCTCTCAAACTCGACCTTGATAAGGTCAGTGAACAACCGAGAACGGAGCCCGTCTCGAGCCAAGGCGGACACAAGGACCCGAGTGCGGAATCCGACACAGCCCGACCGCAATCCATTACAATGCCCCGGCCGCCTGTTCAGGCGTCACAGGCTACGCCTAGTCCATCCTCCCCGGGACTGCCGACGATTGCCGCTTCCCGCATCGGCGCGTCTCCTTCCCTCATGTCAGTCGACGAGGAAGTCCCTCGGGCGAGACTTGCCACAGACAGCCCGCCCATGGAGATGTTGCGTGCACAGGTGCAGCCTCAGGATGACCCATCGATGGGGCGCAAGCCTTCCATGTCTGACTTGAACCCGTCGACGAGCCGTTTCACGCTGCGAATACCTTTGCTTGGACGTCCGAAGGTCCCGTTGCAGCAGGCTGTGAAGAGTGCGGAAGTGAGTGCACAGCTGGATGGAGCGACGTCTGGGAGAATTGAGGTCGCGAAGGATGGAGTGAAGGATGCTGCGGGTACGTAGTGCAATGCGCACCGAAAGCACAGCTGATGACATCTGTCCGTCAGGTCAATTACAGTCTTCGACATGCGCCGGCGAGCACAAAGTTGGGGAGAGCAATGGTGACTCAGTTCAAAGTGAGTTACCTCACGGCACTCCGTGCCTAGCGCTAGTATAGATAACAATGGCTCTGTACCACCAGCTGAAGAGTCTCAGCCACCACCTGGTACACCTCTTCCAACAAAGATTGAGCGGGCAATGATGAGCTCAATCACTGCACCAGATCCTGAGCCACCTTCGTCTGGCGCTTCGGCTACCGAATCCACTCCCGCGCGGTCACCAGTATCTGAGGCGCCCACTCCGGAATTGTCTGCGGATGGGCCATCGACATCGCCGAGGCCACCTTCTGATGACGAGACGCCGAAGGCTACTGATCAGCAGGCACATACGTCGTCCTGGTGGGATTATGTAGCCTGGGGTTCGGGCACTCAGCCTACTTCGGACAGACCTACGAAGCCGGAGGCTCTCATGATTGACACGGTGAAAGCAAATGCCGAACCGGAGCTGACATCTCCTACATCCCCTGCCCCGGAAATGGCCCAAACGGCTTCTACGGCTTCTGCACCTGCTGCTGTAGCGAGGTCTCCGGCCCAGGAGGCGCCACCTGACATGCAGAAGAGCACGAGTGCCGATGGTATCCGGGAGGGTCCATCTCCTACCAGCCGGAAACCGGCATCGATACTGTCTGCTGAGACTGCCAAGAGCCATAACTCAGTTTGGTATTCACCGTGGGGTTGGTACAACATGTCTCCCAACCCCGCGGATGCGGGCCCATCTACGGTCCAGGTCACTGAAGCGACGGAAGACGAGCGTGGCTCAAGCGGACGCGTCAAGTCAGAGTCCGAGATGGTCAAAGAAGAGGCACTCGCTCGTGAAGATTCGTCTGACGACAAGACAGACATAACCGAGCCTCCTGTCATAGCGGTCGCCTCCGATCCGCCACCGCCCGCCGACAGCACGACGTCTCCGTCGACGGAATCACAGAACCCTATCGAATCGTCAATCACCGCGAGTCGCTCTAGCTGGGTGTCGTTCTTCATGTCCAAAGCCTTGCTCACGAAGACCATATCGGACGATGGACAGGAGAAGGATGAGAACGGCATGGAGGTGATGAATGTCGACGAGGAGGAAGAAGACAAACAAGAGGGACCTTCCGCTCCCGTAGCTATCGCGTCAGGCAACGACCATCTGCAGCCGCGGCCAGCGTCTCCCTCTTCGAAGGCGTCTCTGCCTTCCGCGAGGCGCGAGCACGCCCACAAGAAGTCCATTGGCTCTGTCTCCGCCGTGGAAGGACGGAGGAGTGACTTGAAACAAGGTACTGCTCGGTCGCCTTCTCCGGCGCCGTCCAGAGCGTCCAGTGTCGCGGATGCGACAGTGCCCCGGCCACCGTCTCTCAAGAACTTAGTGCTTCCGACTTGGGAGCAGATCTTCCTATCGCCGCCGCGCTCGCTCGTCCCGCCGAAGCCTCGGGGAAAGTCGAAACTCGCAAAGGTTTCGAAGACGTTCTCACTCGTGAGCGATGTGCTCTTCAGTAGGGACGACGAGGTCGAGGGCAAAGGCAAGGGGAAGGCCAGGGAACGGGAGCGGGAGGCGAAGTTCATTCACCTGGGCAAGGAGCTCCCGAAGGCGCTGGACGTAATTGGGGAGACCCTCAACCCATACATGCTCAACGGAGGCTGTAGGGTAGTCGTGATCGGTGTGGCTGGGTGGTCTCCTGGTCCGTTGTCGAATTCTTGATGATTTGCTGATGCTGATGCTCTGTTTGTAGGGGCGGTGACTAGGACGCTGGCTGGTGGAGTGAGCCTCCACCTCATATGGTGCTGTAAGAATCTGTCTGACCTAGATCCGTACAGCTACCATCGTCTAGTACCAAGTTCGTGGACATGACCTGTCAAGCACTGGATCAGTTTGAGCAGGAACACGGTTTCAAGTTCAAGAAGATCACTAGGGTACCACTGGAAGGCGACGGAACCATCGAGCGCAAGGTGTCGAAGTAAGTCTGAAGATCGATGGTATCCCGCGTGTTAGTCTCATCGCGCCGTCTTCCACGTGTCTCAGGGTGCACGACCAGTTGCTGTCAAATGAGGACTGGATGGAAGATCTTCATGCGGCAGATGTCATCTTTGTGGCTGCGCACTCACAAGGATGCATCGTCGCCACACATCTGCTTGATCGTTTGGTCCGCGATGGTCACATTCTCACGTCGCGGAGCGTGGACACTTTGACGAAGACAGCCGCTGCAGTGGTTCCGGGCGGTGCTGCTCAGCCAGTGACTCAAGCTCAGCGAATCGGCTTCCTGGCGCTGTGTGGGATTCACCTTGGACCATTGAGGTACCTCGGGATAAGCTCGCTATTACAGCCATATATTCAGGTGTGCATCTCGTCGTTCGTGGCGGCGAAGAGGACTGACACAAGGACTAATTCAGTATTTCGAACATGCCTCGGCACGGGAGCTGTTCGAATTCCAGGTACTATAACTGATTGGATCCACATACGGCCTCAACTCACTGCTTGTCAGAACACTCAGTCCCGTTTATCGAAGAACTACGTCAAAGCGCTCAAGAATGTTGTTGATCACGGTGTAAGTGGGGCTATCAAGCACAGGATATTTGATTCTCATCCCTCGTAGGCCAAGATAGTGTATATCGCTTCTCTGAACGACCAAGTTGTCCCTATCTATTCTGGTCTATTCACAGCAGCTTCGCACCCTCGAATTTTGCGCGCTTTGTACATCGACGGTGATGCATATCAGTGCGTCCTTGTAGTTCACATTTGCCGTCTGGCTGCTTACGGATGTCATACGTCTAGTTCTTCCGACTTTCTGACCAATTTGCTTGTCCTGCTTATCCGGATCTTGAACGCGGGCCTGTCCGATGGTGGCCTGCTGTTACATTTGTCCGAAGCTACAGCTGGCACATTGAGTGGCATCGGCCACTCAACCGTGTACGAGGAGCTCGCCACATTCTCGTTAGTCTATGTCTCGTGCCAGCAGGCATCCGGTACTGATGAATCACGGCAGCTTGGCAGTGAAGTACTTCTTCCTAACCAACGATGGTGATACAGAGCATGCGGACCTCAACATAGATTCTTTCAATGCTGTGGAGGAACAGAACGACTATGAGGTGCGTCCATCTTGTGGTTATTAGACATATCAAATAGTGACTGTGGTCGAACATTCCATAGATTCCTTGGTCACTTCGTGATATGATCGCCGACGAGCGAGTCGCCCATTTATTTGCGCGAGAGTTTGCCCAGCTGCGAGACGCATTTGATGACTGGCAGCCGAAGACGACCATCCTGCGGGAAGTCAAGAAGAAACTGCAGCCAATCCAACGCCTGAACTCTTTCACTCCGTCCAACAGCAAATTATAATGAACTCCATTGTCGCATTTTCTCTCGTATTTGCATCGCGGACATGCTGCATCTCCTCACGGTATCAATTGTTGTACAGCTAGAGCACAGGTTACATACGCCGATGATGATATTGCTATACACGGTGTCTAATGTTTCTTTCCTCGTCATTTGCATAAATCCAGTGATTTACACATTCTAAGACGCTCGCATGGATCGAAGGCAATTATGCACGTCGGTCATTCCCCCATCCGTCATAGATCTACTATCATAAACGTGGAGATCACTTTGATAAGAGCCATGAACACGGGCGATGGCTGAGATGGCGATGTCGCGGCAACCAAAGAGTTTGAATGACCAGCAACCCTGGCCGGTCACCATGATTGGCCGAGGTATGGAACATGAATCGCGACTGGATTCACCGACCCAAGACATTGCTAGCCTGGGAGCAGATCTGGCGCTCAATATACCGAGTCAGTATCCCAGATCCTTTGATGTACGTGTTGCAGACAGGTATGGAAGAACACCATGACCCACTGAGCTTGCTCGTCTCAACCACGGCGCTGCGCTGGCTGCCATCCTCAGAGCAGTCTCCAATGGAACGGCCTCCTTCTATCTCATCTGTCGACCTACCTGATTGTCAGTGTTTCGATGAAATGTGGCGCATCTCCATGTAGCCAGTGCAATCACAATGATCCTTACACTGCTTCTCGAGTGGGTCTGCCCATTCAGAGCCATCTGTAGGACCATGCGAGAACGGAGACCAGGCATACGATGCCAAGTGACAGACAAGTCCACGGATACCATAACGTATGGACTAACTCACCTGGAGATCATTGCCTATGAGTCCTGGGAGTGAGGTCGCGCACAATCGATTACGCGAGTTTCGTACGCACCTCATACGTTGCGACCACATCAGTGTCTGCATTGGCATCCACCGCGTCCGCGGAAAACAAGCCCGAACAAAGTGCATGTCGGCCATACAGTGACGGCGGAAGTCCGGCGATACCATCGAGTTGCTCTCTGCAACGCTCAGGGGCCCATCCCTTGTTCAACACAGCCGTGTTCACAGTCCGTACGCGTGGCGCGCAAACATGTAGCATCAGCATTTCCGCGCGGAGACTGTAGGACATCTCTTGACAGTATTAAAGCACAGGTTACCGCTCAATCAGGGAATCTTCCCTTCATCCTTGTGCAAACTGTCTGGGCCTGAATGCCAGCGCCCTCCTCTGACCTCTCCTCTCGCACGGCATCTTCAGTGCTCGGCCATGTGTTAGTCCCCTGCTATGATAAGAAAGACTTACAAAACCTTAGCATTCTATAACGTGCCCCACACAGGAACCTCATGATGGATACATTCATCGCTAACGCTAACGCGGAAGAGTGAGTCCCCCATTCACGAAACAGTGGAGTGCTGAAGCTCACCTCGGCGAACAACGTTCTACAGTCTCCGTGCGATCGTACGAGGGATGATCGCGACCAGCCCCCCGGCATCGGCATCGAGCCTTGCTTCACTGGCGCGACGCAGGCTAGTACAAACTGGAGCCCCGAGCGTTCCTTCACCGGACGGCCTATTCATTTCCGATACATCGCGCGGTTTAAGTGCACCTACCGATAAACTGCGACAAGTTCTGTCACGGGTCCGAGCTCTCTACGGAGCCGGACTCGGATTCGCGAGTCTCAAGATCCTCGCGGTGATCGTAAAGGCGGCGGAGGGCATAAAGTGGATGGAAGGAAGCGAGTTGGAGACGCTGCTTGCGGCGATCGACGTGGACATCAGTCAGGCCATACAGAGCTGCAAGGAAGAGGCGGACAGTGGGAGAGTGACAAATTTGGCATTCGGGAGGGCGGCGGTGAATGAATTGCGCGCTGCTGTCAAGGAGAACAGGATGGTAGTGGTATCTGGGGTGGGCGGTTACCTGTTCGAGCAGGGAGAGAATGCGTTAGACTACTGGAAGATTTAGACTTTGTTTGCGCTCGGAGTACTCGATACACTGGGCCATGCAGAAGTCAGAAACCGTCAGCCAATACCAAGGCTAGACCACATACCAAGATGATTGACTCTGTAATAGCATGTACCATATGCTTAGCATATTGATCAGAGTGAACATGACGCTGCGAAGATAATTGTGAACCCTTTTTTAGGCTTTCAGGCTCGACATTGGAATATTGACGACTCCAGGTCTCTCTGTCGATGGACGTACGAGGACACGTTGGAATTCTGCCATCTGGACCAAATCTGGACGGTGGGAATGGTAGCTCACGTGCTGTACTGCTAATAATAGCACCATTGAGTTGCGAGTCGAGATGAGTCGTTCCGGATGAGCTGACTCTCGCAATTGAACCCACGCATGAGCACAATATTTTCTTCAGCTCCTGGTGCACTCGTTCGACTCGGATTCTGGTGGTACACTTTGCCAGTGCCGGTATTCGATTGAGAAGCAGATCAGACATTGCTCACCGTGCATCCGAAGTACAAATGTTTGGAATTCATGATGACATATAATACATGAGCAGCAATTTCGAACGCCCAGGGTGTCATGATCATAAGGCGTAAGTCTCGGTGTGCAGCCCCAAACCGCCCAGCTCCAGTCCTTTGGTCAGACTTAACTTCGCCGCGGCATTACGCGTCTCCGTCGTGAGCGACTCTGGCCCTGCAGCACACACGGCCACTCCACCGCCCAAACCGACCCAAGATAGCTTCGGCTGTTCAGCAATCTCCTCTTCCGTCGGTGGGGTGATGAACTGGTGGAGCAGGTTGCCGATGGTGGGACGCAAGAGGACGACGTCGGAGTTAGGGATGGTGGGGACGGCGTCGGGGTTGCAGAGGCAGGTTACGAAGATGGAGATGTGGAGGTCTAGTGATGTGCCAGCGACGGCGGTCGCGAGGTCGGTGAGCATTTGTGCGTGCCAGTTGATGCACCCTAGAAAGCGACGATGTCAAAAGAGTGTCACGAGGGATGTGTGCAAACCAGCTTACCGTACGATTGGATACACCAAACAAACTCTATGCGTCTCGTCCTCTCGTTGCCTGGGCGGCCGAACTTCACGCAGCGCGCAATGATATCGTCCAGTAGCGAGAGTGTGAACGTCGCACCCGAACCGCCGGCAATCAGCAACGCGCTCTCGTATCGACCCAAATCGATGCTGCACCCGCCGTACGGCCCATCCAACATAACCTGTACAGGGATGCCAGGTTGCTCGCCTTTCTCGCTTCCTAGCAAACGCGCTTGTTCTTCTACGGCGTAAGCGTTCAGCGCACGTGTCCAATCACCCTTTGCCTTTGCGGCGAGCGAGAGGGTTTGCGAGGGAACACACGAGACGGGCGAGGGTGCGTTCATGATCGTGAGTGGGTGCGACTCGAAGATGCGTCCATCGAAAAAGACCCGCAGACGGACATGCTGGCCCGGTTGCCAGCCCTTCGTGCAGTCATGGACGTGGATCTAAGAGGTGGTTAGCACTGCTTTTGGGGAGGGCCTGCGTCACGCACAATGGTCATGTTCTGGTCCATGGGTACCAGCGTCGCGTCCTTGATACGGTACTTGAACAGCCTCAAGAGCATGTCGAGGCCGTAGAACGCAAGCGGAGGGTATACCCACGTCCATGCGTACTCTGTGTGGTAGCAGATAGAGATCGTGAACGAAACGTAGCCAAGGACGCTAACGTGAACGTCAATATACGTCAGATACGAACAGGCAAAGGCATACTTACTGGGAGATGAAGAAGAACTGGTAGAAGTAGTGCCGCACGGGTTTCAGCGAGAAGAGCGTGATACCGCAGAGGACACCGAGCGATGCCACGCCCGACGTCTCCTTCTGCTGGCCAAGAATGGGCAGGCCGAATTCCAGGTGATTGCGGATCCAGAGCGCCCCGTGGATCACGCCGCCAATAAGCATGCCGCGGCCGGCCCATCGGTGCAAGAAGTTCAATTTCTCATAGCCGTTCCCAGGACCGAGAAGTAATGAGAGGACGGAGTTCTTGGTCCCGAGCAGATAGACAACCGGGAATTGTGCCAGGGCGAGGAACCCTGAGTACAGAATTAGTACACTTTGTCGAGGTCAAAGACCAGTAATAACACACCTGCTCGGTTTGGATTCGTCACTAGAGGAGCATCGGTCGTAATGCAGACGATCACCGCAACAAGGTATCCTGCCACGAGAAGGACTGTGGAAGTGATAGAGATCAGCGAGCGGGTTATAATTTGGCGAGATGAAACCCTACGCTGGCCAAGGGTCAGACCAACAGCGGGGACAGTCCACCAGAACAGTGATGAGACAGTCTCGACTAGCCCATAGAATGTCCGTCTCCTTGTTCTAGGTTTCACGTCTGCGTCCCCGATAGTCGCATAGCGCTGTGCAGCGATACTCTCGGAAACGCCGAATAAACCACGCAAGGCCCCTCCATGTCTGAGCGATCGAATAAGATGGGGAAGCGAGAGCAATATCGCGACGCCCGCGACGGCCGCCCAAATGGCTGAGAACTTCCTCTGCCATTTCGGGTCCTCGACGTAAGAGCTGGGGGAGCATGACCGTGAGCACCGATTTTCCCAAGTCTTCCACGCCTCAACGCGGTGGCTGAGCACTCACTTGTACTGCTGCAGCGCAGACGGGATAGACGGCGGTGTACCGTACGAAGACATGGCTGCCCTACACACCCTCTTGCGATCCAAGGATGATGAGGATGAAGGGGAGTTGGGTTGCCTAGTCCGAGTGGCTACTGCCTACAAGTGTGGCGGAGGTGAGTTTGTTCGGGCCAAAGCTTGGTGAAAGACTTTTTCCTCCTGCCAATCGGGGGTGACTGATCCCGCATTTCAATCTTATCAGTTTGCAATTGACTCCTCCCTGTTGCGATCTTCGGTCTAGAAGTTCTGGTTTGTGCGCCCGCCCCTCATTGCTATGACTGCGCGCTACGCGGCCGACAGCGACGGTGACGGCGACGAGGAACGGCGGCGCAGCAGGAGAACGTCCACATCAGATTGCGCCGCCGCGAGGACCGAAAGGCACAATTCTCTACCAGCACAACCAGAGCACGTTCAAGTTCCGGACCGACATCTGAAGCTAGGATGGCTAACACGTTGACACGGCGAATGATAGAGCAGTCATTATGATACATCCGATAGTCATGATGCGAAACATCTTTTCGTTCGAAAGGCGTAAGAATAGCTGGACAACGAGAAGGGAAGAGCGAGAGATAGCGCAGGATGCACGTCGAAGGAACCAACAGCCTATAGTACATAACTCCATTACAATTCAGAAGCTCTTCACAGATGCACGAGCTCAATGTGGGACGCGAACCGCCCAAAAAGCATCTCTCCGACACCGAGCCCAACGATAAGCGAGAAGATGAAGCCCAATTGGAACGTCCTGCAAGAACGGCGAAGCAGACTATCAGCAACTGTCCTCGAGAGACGACGATAAAACGACATACATCACAGCGAGCATGAACGCGTAGTTCAGCGCGACTTGCACCATCAGCAGAATGCCACGCGGCAGCTCGTGCTTGAGGATGAACGGCGCAGCGGAGCGAAGGCCGATAGTTCTGGGGAGAGTCGAATGCAGGACGGGCACGCTGAGAGAGGAGGTAGACCTCTTCTCATCGACAGCGGATGATCTAGTCGTCGGTAGGCTAGCATTGCTACCCGTATTGAGCTCGACAACGCGAGCCCTTCAGATAGATGAGCACCTTCCACACAACGCTTTGCAGAACCGACGTACCGTTGCGCCCAATGCGCCTGCATAACCGCCCTCGCCGCGGCGATCCACCTCTCTACCATCGCAAGCAGGAATAGCCCGATACACGCTCCCACCATCGCGCCCGCGCTCCCTGGCACCCATCCCTGGAACCACAAAATGTCTCCCGGCGTGAAATGCAGATACGTCAACATGTTGGCCGAGGCGAGGTCCATCGCGCCGTCCATGGACATGTCCATGCCGTTGCTCGCCGCCTGCGCAACTGGAGCGAAAAGTGCGCACAGACAAACGAGGTAGCACATGCAGGAGGGCATCACAGAGCGACAGCAGCACATCGTTGAGGGAGGAGGGCGATACAGTTGCCGCTAGAGCGAAGACGACGAGATGCGAGGCTGTTTAAGCGAGAAGTCGAGCTAGGCGCTTACGTAATCCGAGCAAAGCAAAACAAACACCGGATACGGTAGGCGCCGAAGACGATGGTCAGTCGCCGTCGGTGTTCGCCAAGTCCTGCGGTTCCGACGCATGCAAGTGGATTTCTCTAGTGGATCTTCCCTGTCTTCGCACAGAAGTGTGATGCGAGAACGCTGCAAGGGGGTGTCGCCGATTCGGCTTGAACTCTTCACCGGATGGTATCCAGGGCCTGTGGGTGCGCGCGGACCGCATCCGGGCGCGTAGTCAAAACGGCGGCATGGCATTCGCCATCGACATCGGTCGGAACGTAGCACGCAGTTCCCGAGTCAGGGCTGTAGTACGTCCCCGAGTATGTAGGGTGCACGACGCACGTCAGGAGGGGCGCCCCGGGAGGAGTATATCGGAGAACGAAGCCCGCGACAGGGCACGCACCATGGACAGCGGGCGCATCGGTGACGGTGGTATCGATGGGTACCAAGTTGTGAAGGGCCTGCGATGCACCCCGTAGCAAGTGCAAGCCAGTTGCTCAGAATAGCAAGCCGAAGCCCCCGGCCGGCGAGTGGTCCAGAGACCAAAAGATAGGCGCGAGCATGGAGCAGTACGTTGATCCAGAGGTGAGGCCTGCGATAAGAGAGCATGTGTACACTGAATGGCGCCGGTGGTAGTTGAAGACTGGTAGCAAAAATGGCCACGCTGAGCAGCCACGAAGGAGAAGCAGAAGAAAGACAGTCGGGGTTAATTCATCTGGGCGTCGACGAAGCAAAGAAAATAGTCGAGTGCCGTCAGGGATGACTAGATGTCCACAGAGTCCGAGAGGCATCGATAGAGCAACATACAGAAGTCGCAGATTTGTCGTCATTTCTTGAGCCAGGGAAAACCGGCCGTTCGTGCAGGTGCCACAGAAACAGTAGAGCAATGAGGACATATCGAGCTTCGTGAGGTAAACCCCCACTCGATACGCCTCCGAGGCGGCTAGCATGTTCGGATATAGGCGCTGCAGAGCCAGAGCTCCGGACAGACGCGCCGTATATGCTGTAAAATGACTTACCGTGCGGTCGAGCTTCGTGAGGGTGTCCTCCCACTCGACAGGTCAGTGGGCAATCGTGCGAGAAGGGAGACATACCTGTGTCTCCGTTACACTCTTTATCCCTCACCCTGTCGACAGCAGACTATGCTTCGTGAATCTCGACTGCCACCCAAAACCTAGATATCATGGCAATGCCCCACCGTTCGTCCAATACGCATAGTCGTATTAGTGTCGAGGCCTTGTGACGGTCGTAGCTTGTTCCAGATCTCAGAGGGAAGACTAAATGAAGAGCGTCGTTATCTCCGAGTGGGAGAGTGGCTTCGAGGACAGACTATATGCGCCCAATGTCCACCGTCGTATTGATCATCGTGGCGGTGAGCATGATGTTCCGCATGTTTCAGGTCAATGCGTCTCGCTGGCACTCCACGAGCAAGGTGGCTGAGGGACGGAGGCGGACGTTGGTCGAGAACGCGGTGAGAGCGGCGACGAGATGGTAGACGGCAACTTGAACGAGCGAGCTGACGCGCTGACGAACTGTGACACCGCACACGCCAGGCAGGCGAGGCATTTGTGCGCTGCGCTCATTTTGTGATTGGCTCGCGCGGGCGGAGTTCAAAAGTTCAATGAACCGCATTTGGAAATAGACACGATGTCGTTGTCTCCTTGGGTCCTTCGCACACATTGAGCATCTTTGAGCATCTCGAAAACTATCGCTTTGTGGGGTACCTTATATCTCTGGAACTAATGGAAGAGAACAGAATACTGTCTAAGTACTTATAATGTTGCTACTACCGTAGTCCTTGACCGTCCTAATCCCCACCAAGATCACATCATGGGTCACGGAATCGCACACTACCGTGTTGCCATTTTGTGTGAACTGTAGACGAATGTCGAACAGCGTCTATAACAAGAATAGTAATAAAGACACTCATCATCTTGACAGCATTGCTTAACACTCACTCGCCTTGTCCGACAGTACCACTTGAATCACCGAACGTCAGCACAACGCGTGTAGCACAACAACAGTGCGCACCGTATTCCACACTGCCCGCGATCAGCCCGCCTTGAAGGGACGTCCGACCTATTGTATGGCCGAACCTTATTGCATTGGATCGTCGACGTCAATGTGCGTCCAACCAGACAGACACGGGCGGCAAGAATCCGGCGCAAGATTCAATTCCTCAGTCGATCTTCACGCTGATTCCAATTGGCCGCGGGCGTCTTGATATCACACTTGCAGGATCGTCGCCGGAAGGTTGCACTGGAAGTCGTCAACCGTGACACCGGTGGGCACGCTACCGGAGCGTTTGCTTCCAGTCTTATGTCATTTCGGGCGTGGCCGCTTAGAAAGTTGTCCGTGTGTCCGCAGCACGAGCCCTGACAACTTACGTGAAGGCCGCGACAAGAAACAGTGGGCATCTGATAGTGAGTAGCATGCAGCAGGATCATCATCCGTGCGGACATGATCTCGCTTCAAGTTAAACAATCTCAAGGGGACAGCGTCAACGGGGCGTACGTGACATTGTTTTCTTCGTGAAAGAGGCGATTCTCGAGGTGCGTCAGTGGAAGCTAGCGGGAAGAAGACTATCAGCGTTTCCAGAAATTGCCTGTAGCTCCACCTGTTGAGGCGTAATATTAAAAACTCACCGCCCTGTCGCATCACTCATGGGAGGTAAGTAGACATCGCTACAAGGCTCAGCATCCGACGTGCTGGCTCGCCTCTCGTATAGGCTATCACGTTGATTCCCCATAACCAAGATCCTGAGAGTCGGTGAGCTGACCTGGTTTCAATGCCGGGATGCTTTGGCAGTTCGACGGCCAGTGTGTCTTCGTTGAAACCTGCACTGATGCGTTGACCCCAGCTCCAATCGAGTTATTGTACCGAGATCGTGTACCGCCATTTGTGATCATGTTTATGATCGTTCGAAGTTCTTTACCAGCAGTGCACTAAGCACATGATTCCGGGCTGACTGGGAGCAGTAGGCGTTGAGTAGACGTGGTCGTAGTCTCAGACTAAGCTTAAGGCTGCAGACGCCACTGGCCGCGCGAGACGCGTTGCAATTCAAACACGCCACCCGGGTCTCTTCGGGCGTCTATTCCCCCCTGGACCACCTCGCCCTCCATCCACTGCTAATATGCAACCTGCTGCTGTGGTCGTGGCCTACTACCTGTGCTGCCCTGAACCTCTTGACTCTGGCACGTCCGGTTTTTATGAGCAGACTCCAGCGACTTGCTCGGCTGTAGCCATCCTCGCCCTCGCGCTGCGCCAGCAGGTCGATTCCAGGTCAACCGGGTAGCAGTCATTTTTTCTGACCCTTTCTGACCCCTTCGAGGCCTCGGAGGGCCCAACGTGCTGCCCCGCACTTCGAAGTTGCTCAAGAGTCTGCAGCGCCGGGAGGAGGAGTCTCGTGAGCAAAGGGACATCTTGGGGACATCCGATCCACGAGACCTCTATCGCACCTTGATCGTCCGCCCTTCTGTCCTTCGCCCTTCAGCGCAACCACCGACCTCGATTCTGTTGACACTCGTCGTCGGTTGATCTGCAACACGAGTTGTATGGGGGAGATCTCCGGAAATCCGGTTTTGAATGGGGCATAACACTGAAGCGTACGTGGTTTTCTTGGTTCGATCGCTCGATGCGGAATGTGCAGTAGAGCATCATGAACTCGCCAGCGGCCCGTCACTGAATGAAAAGTTCACAGAACTCTTAGAGGCTTGAAACAAATGATGTCTTGCGCGAGGGCGACGACTTACCATCGCGGTCACTGGGCCCTGGCCCTCACCGTCAAGCGAACCGCTGGCAGACAAACAACGCGTGTACTACCGTAGCTCTTCCAGCGTAGGGTTGGAAGCTTGTCTGATCGAACACTGCTCTCAGTTCAGCTGTTGGACGGACATCGGATGGTCAGGCTGGCGACGGACATCGAGAGCACTGTGTGCCTCGGCTGCCGTTGGTAAGTCTCATTCTATATGGCTTTGTGTGCCGGTATGAACTGACCTGGACTTGAAGTGAGTTCTTCGTCATGTGTGCGTGGCGTTGTTTCGCCTTGCCCTCCAGTGTTCGACCGAGGCCACACCTACAGTGCGAGGGCGTAGACCGCGTCGTGGGATCATGATGGCGCACGCGTGAGCGATCGCATTACCTGCAGTTCATCTCAAGCACTACTTACCTATCATTTGGCGCCAGATCTCTGGGATCGCCTCTCCTCAAGAGATAACTACACGCGAAGAACGGCTCCAGTCCGTTCGGGTCTTCTTCGCAAAGGAATGTTTCGACTAACAAAACCACAAGACTTGCCATGTCAAGACATTCCGACGTATCTGGACCTGAAAATCAACGCGAATGAGCTACAATTCAGCTCAACACGCACCTTGGTCGCGACAAGACGAGTGGCGTTCTTGCCACGAGCCACAAGCGATGCAACACGACCTTCCGAGGCGTACTGTTTGACGTCTGGTCTCGGATTAGGTGACGTCGTTTGCCTTCTCGGAGACACTTGCAATTGATGTCTCCCGGCAATGGTAGAGGAAGGAGAACAAGGGACGAGGACGGTCACAAGCAGCAAGCCTCATGTCGATGTGGGCGTCTACGCGCTGTTGGCGCGACGCGTTGGTCACGGGGACACGACGCGTTGCGTCTGCGTATCTGGGCCTACGTCGTTTGGATGGTCGAACAGGGCGCGCACTCAATGGTGTGGTATAAGTCGAGTCTCATCATATCTACAGGTGAACCTGTAGTCCCGCGGTTTAGCCTGTGGGCTGTCGGACCCGGGCGCTGACGTCGTTCCTTGGTCGTGGCATCGCACTCGCTTGCAAGAAGAAAGAAATGGGATAGGAGCAAAAATGAGAATACAAGACAATGCATCGCTCGAGCCGTTCGCCGAGCATCCCTTTCCTACGTTCCGATAGGCCTTGCATTGTGCCACACCCCTTCCCCACGCGACTGCCCTAACTCGTAATTTGCTGAATGCCCTGGTCGACTGCACGCGCTGAAAAAAGGAAGAGCTCGTCAATACAGACTACCCATGGCATGTATAAGGACCTCGACTTACCCGCTGCCAGGACAAGGTTGCCTGCTGCCCGTCGATTCACCCCTACTTCCTGCTTCCGCTCTGTCTCTGGGCCGCGCTTCTGACCACGTCCGCCCAAGTCCTCACGCGCGCGCTAGCATCCGGGATACTCTGCAGCGTCGCTGAGCTCTGGGTGCTGCCGGAGTCTGTGCGGCGGTGGCGGGCAGTCGGCAGCCCTGACCTAGAAGCCCTACGGAGCGTACTCCCAACGATGCGTTCGGCCTCATCAATGGCCGTCGAGGTTTCCAGGATCTCATCCTCCCGCCACGCCAAGGAGTCTATCGCCCTTCGGATGGTACCGCCAGCCATAAACTCGGCTTCGTCGATAGTCGTCGACGTTTCGACGATCTCGTCCTCGTTCCATACGAGGTTTTCGAGTGCATCGGGTGCGACGGCTGGTTCATGTTCGACAACCAGGGTCTCGACGTTGGCTGTGGCGACCGGCTGGTTTGCGAAGAAAAAAAGTGAGATCAAACGATGTTACGGCTCTGGCTATGTCACTGACCTGCGGTGGCATTGCTGCCGTAATTTCGGTTGGTCTCAGGTGCATGACCTGGTCGGAGGAGTCTTCGTCCTGGCATAGCGTCGGCCAATGCACAACCCAGCTACACGGTGCGTCAGGGTCCCTCCACAAGTTCGCATATGGGCTTTGATAGAACACTCCGTTTGGTGCCATCGTACTCCAAGACATGCTGATACGATACGATCAGTGATGAAGAGACGATCTATTGGGATATACCTCAGAACTTACTTGTGACGAGGTAACGACTTGGACGACGACGACAACGAGGATCGTCCAAAGGAGAATGTGGCAAGAGCTTGTGGGGCAACAGAGGCGCGCAGTGTTGTAAGGAAGGCGAGACCTTCCGATATTTTGCGCTTATACGAGGGCTGACGGCGCGTTGGTGGACAGACAAAGGAAAGATGGTAGCGGCGAGGACGGGTGCGCGACGGTTCGGTATGGGCGCTAATATGCGAACTATCGGTCACGGGATATGGACGCGTCCGAGGGCGCAGAAATGCCTCTCGGACGACGTCGGCAGCAAGCTATGACCTTGGATGCTCTGGAGTTGGTTGGCTCCTGCGCTTGCGACGCGATGGTCTCAAGTGCCTGTCACATCGCTCACTCTCAAGAAAGAGTCAGGACGAATGCGATCGGAGGATCTCTAACAGTACAGCATAATACAACACTCGAACAGCGCGCGGAGCCTCCATTGCGCGATATCATTACTCCCATGGCCTTGCATTATCATTATACCATCTTCAGTTACCCACGACAACTCCAGCCACGGAGGCCCAGCGACGGCTGAACACCACAAACAACGGCTCGTCAACACGCATTACAAAGCAGACCTAACGATCCCAGCTCACCTCAATGCATCAGCTACCAGAATAAGGCAGGCCATGCCCCTTGACGGGCAGGCTCCGTCTTCCTATTCTTGCCCAAGGAACCGAATCGAACCACGTCTGCCCAAGTCCTTGGACGCACGCTGTCCCCATCTCCGTGGAGGGTCTCGATACTAGCAGAGCTCTGAGTACTCTCAGAGCCCACTCGCCGGTGGGTGACGGCCCGTCCAGACCCCACGGTCCTCTCAAACACAACTCCAGCGACGAGCGCCGCCTCGTAGATGGTTGTTGATGTCTCCCAGACATCGTCGTCTCTCCACTCGCTGTCGCTCATGGCTCTCTGTAGGGAGCCCCCGATCGCGCTATCAGCCTCGTCTACGACCGTCGATGTGGCTAAAATTTCGCTGTCATCCCAACTGAAGTTGTTGAGTGCTTCATCGATTCGTGTAGTGGCAGTGGTTGGTTCGCCTTCGACTACCTGAAAAGAAAGGTGAGGCCAAACCACAATACGGCTCCGTGTCTGTATCACTGACTTGATTCTGGGTGCTTGCCGTATGGGGGTTTGGTTTCAGGGACGTCGCCTGATGCGAAGGATTCTGGTTTGTAGTTGCTCTAGGATATTCGGTCACGTTCCAGCTACTTGGTATGTCGACGTTCCAAATGTTGTCCTTCGTGCTTTGAGAGAACAAGCCGTTCGCAGCTAGCTCCTTCAACGGCATGCTATAATGATATGGTCAGCGATGAAGCGACACGGCATAGAGGATGGCGTCGAAACATACTCGTGGGCCGATGGCGACGGCCACAACTGTGCAGTGCAGAACGAGGATAGTGGTTGTGGAATACCAGAATCATGTGGTATGTATAGCGTCATTGTTTTTCTCTGACTTTTGTACTCGGACAGGTGCCAAGGGTGCAGAGCGATGGACAAAGAATCGCAGTGGCGAAGACAAGTGCGCGGCGATGGTTGGGTATTGGCGCTTAAATGTTCACTTTTGGTCACGGGACCCTGACGCGTCTGCAGCGCGAAAATGCCTCGCGATATCCGTAGACGATGTTGCCAGCGGTGTATGAGCCTAGAATCCTGTCTTTGGCCCAGGTCTCGCTCTTGCGTCATGGTGATTTCTGACGCTGTTGTTACTCCAGTCGCTCGCTCGAAGTTCTATGCCTCGCTCTCAGGGTAGCGTGAAGAAATGCAATCGGAGGCTCTACTAGTACAACACTACACATCAATCCGAAATTCGCCTTGCATTGTGCTACGTCCGCCCCCCTGTGATAACTCTAGCCAGATCCTAGCTGGCCGTCGGATTTGTTCGGAGAAGGCAGCCAGGCTGTTCACCACCACGTCGACATGTGTCATGAACAGCAAACCCCGACTCAGGCTTACCATCGCGTCGGCCAAGAAGACCTTAATTGACAAGTCACGCCTTCCGCGAAGTGGCCCTCACTACGTCTGCCCAGGTTCTCGAGCGTCCGCTGACAGTCTGTATATCCTCCCTGGGCAGGCTTTCGAGACTGGAAGAACTCTGGGTGCTCCCAAAGCTCGTGCGCCGATGGATAGTGGGCCGCCCAGACCCTACAGTCCTATGGAAGGCACTTCGCGCCTCGTATATGGTTGTGGACGTCTCCACGGCGTCGTCGTCCATCCACCAGCCATCGTTCGCGGCCCTCCAGAGGGAGCTCTTGATCAAGGACTCGGCGATGTCGAGTCTTGGTGACGACTCTCGTATTTCGTTGTCGTTCCGAACACCGTCGCCCGGGGCAGCACCGATCTGGGGACAAAGAAGTGAGACCAGACACCATTACAGCTTTATGTGTGTGTCACTGACCTGGCATTGCATCGGTGCCGTACTGGTGGCTGGTTTTAGGTGCACGACCTGGTGTGGAGAGCTTCCATTCGCTGTTGTGCTGTTGTGCTGTGGCACGTTCCAGTTACTCGGTATGTCGATCCTCCAGACGTTGTCTTCTACGCTTTGAAAGAACAAGCTCTTCGATGCTAGCTCGGCAGAAGTCATTCTGTGATGATCTGATTAGCGGTGAAGGTGCGACGCGAGATTAATCGCGTCGAGGCTTACTCGAATATCAGTGGCAATGAGGTGATGGGAGCAACAATTGCGGAGCGTACAAGACCAACAGAGGCTTCAAAGCAACAACTCTGTATGGGGAGACAGAAAGGGCGACATGTAACGGTCTCCTCCTCTGGGATGGGTGTCGATGGCGTGGCGGTGTACAAAGGGGACAGTGGCGAAACGGAGAAGTGTGGCTTGGTGCAGTACGGGCGCTTACACGTCTGTTTGTCAGTCACGGGATCTCGACGCGTTTGGGCGCGGAAGTCAAGCGGAAGTCACGAAGTTCATGGACGGTTGCACGAGCAATGTTTGAGACCGAAAGCGTGTCTTTCTCTGGACGGTGTATAGAGGAGGTCCGTGCATACCTTGCCGTGGCGTCGTTCTTAATCAGTTCAGTTCAGTTCATAGCGCATATAAGTAGATAGTAAGCCCTACTTATAACAATCGATACTGCCAAATGCGCTTTTTCGAGCTCGCAATTTTCCCTCCCACTCCTATGTGTCTTCCTGTGATGTTCTTCTACCTGAGAGATGTGTGATAGACAGTACATCTACACAGAAACGCGAATAGCCCGCGCCTTGGGACTGACGACGCGGACGTACTGTATATTAAGCGCCGGTCCAGGATGTGCGTGTATCATCGTTGCTTTAAGCGCTGGTCAGCAGTTACGACGGTCGCGTTCGACCGCGACTCAGTCGACCACTCTCCCTCCAGACCTCATCCTCTCTCGTCTCATCCCGTGCTGACGATCTGTGCGTCAACGACCTGTGTCTGTCTTAGTCTCGACTGTGATACAGACATCAAAGTGAGCACATCTACCCAACATGGATGGGCGGTGGTCGCTCAGCGCTCAGCCTTCGGCGCACAGATTTCGTTGGTTTCAAGGTGACCGCGTACCCTCTCTACGCCCAACTATCCGCTTTTCGAGAGTTCTTCGTACGGCAGGACGATCGCAAGCTGGATGCGCTAAGGAAGCTCGGGTAGACGATCGCGAGCACGATGCTACCGACACCGCTGATCCCGCTTCCTCCTGAATCCGCAATCCCGCCTTCTGCTGCTACCACCTCAGACGCATCTTCCCAAGATGACCTCTTTGCGACACTATTCCAACCACCAACACCTCATGCGTCGCCTGCGCCCCCCGTCAAGCAGGACACCGCTGCGTCGCGGCCTGGCGCTCACACGCGCAACCAATCGACGAACTCCGACTTTGGCGCATTCGTTTCGGTACCCGCGACCGACGACCCACTTGGCTCCGGTAGTTCGAAAGATGGTTTCTCACCCATTGAAGGAATGCAGGCGGATTTCTTTGATCGCTTCGCGGAGGACGCCAAGGCGGCGAACGAGAAGAGCAAGCACGACGTGCTCGACGAGCTGTTGAAGGCGGAGAATGACCCATTCTACTTCCTGAGTTCGTTAGACAACGGTGAGCCCACCGCGAGTACGAGCAGGCATACAACGCCCATCCCCTCTCCGCTCCCAACGGGGCACTGCACGCCACAGCCGCAGTCCGAGGTCTCCCTCCTCGACCTCCTGCCCGACGCGCCCATCCCCGTGACCTCCCCATCGCCCTCTACTTCTCTAGACTCTTCCGCCGATACCCGCCAATCCCGCCAACTGCACCGACAAGACAACCGGTCCGAGCTGAACCTCTCACCTTCGTCCTCGCGCCCAACCGGCTTCGTCCGCTCGCCCTCCCTGCCGCCACCCACACCCCCACGCCCCGTCCCACCCGAGATACAGCCTGAGCGCGCGCAGGGCCAGTCGTTTTTCTCACCGCCCGCGTACGGCCCCGCCCGCTGGGTGTCCTCCCTCCTCTCCGGCACCGTGCGCTCCGGGCGGACGCGCTCCACGGACGAAGGGTCCGCACTCGCACACAACGGCACCGTCTCCGCGCCGCTCTCGCCTGCGCACGCATCCACTCTACCCGCGCACCTCTTCCAGTCAGCTGCGCTGGACTCCGCGATCACACACGGGACACCGTTCGCCGTGGCGCCGTTCGTGCCTGCGAGTGGCGCGCCGGGTTTCGACGGGGACAGGAAGTGGGACAAGGGCTTCTCAGACGCGTACGAGAAGAGCAACTCGGAGAGGAAGAGCGTGCGGCTGGTGGGGCGGAAGGAGATGACGACCCCGGTACTGACGGTTGAGCTTGCAGATATGGTGCGTGTGTGTTCAATTTCTGGTGTCTGCGCACGACTAATGCGTAGGTACCGGCAGCTGAGGCCGTATTTTCCGGCGCTGGCGCGACTGCCAAGGGCGTGGAACCTCCTGTACAGCCTGGACCAACATGGGATCTCGCTGAACACGCTGTACAGGCGGTGCGAGAACCATACGGGGGGCGCGCTCGTCGTGATGCGTGATTCGGGCGATGCGGTGTTTGGCGTGTGGATGGGGCAGGGCATACACCTGAGCAAGGGCGCGTACTACGGGAGTGGCGAGTCGTACGTCTAATCGACCTTGCATCGTCTGGGTGCGTGTCTCATTGCTGCTCGTAGGTTCCTCTGGAGGCTGCTGCCGGGCCAGCGTGTGAGGATATACAAGTGGACGGGCAAAAACGACTACGTCGCACTCTGCGAACCAGAGTACCTCTCGTTCGGTGGAGGGTGGGTACCCGATTGATCTGCATTCAATCTTGGCTGATCCGTGCGTTGCAGAGATGGCCACTACGGCCTCTACCTCGACGATACCCTGAACGACGGCTCGTCCGCGCGATGTCCTACGTTTGAGAACGAGCCGCTCTGCTCCGCGGGGCCGAGGCAGGGGGAGAACGTCAGATTCGAGTGCGTCGGGCTGGAGGTGTGGGGCGTCGGATGATGTTGGAAAGGAGCCCATCGAACTGGAGAGATCGGGCACGCCTGGCCTTGCGTTTCGGGGCTGCTGTACACTGATCGGATTGTTGTTACCCCCTCACATACACTCGCAATGTTTGTAGACTGTATTGCATACCGCACATGGATGTATTTATTGATGCGAACGCCTATATCGGGAATTTGGTCTGGATATTGCTATCTTCACGGTCAAAGCGCGTATGCGGACCTGGATCGGGTTCAGTAGTTTGCCTTCGAATGCGTGGACCCCACGAGGTTCACCTCATGGCTACTTGGTACGCCCAATTATGACGCTGAGAAGTAGCGAATAACAACCTGGGACTTCGTCGCCAAGTCTCTCCCTGCCACTGCGTCCTTTGTCCCTGTCTTCTTGATTACACTGGCACGCGCTTTGCCCCGTCTATTGTACAGCCCAGGCGGGAGAACCCCGTCATCGCCACTGGGAGCAAGGCTCGTCGTGTATATAAGACGAAGTTGAGGGACAGTTGCGCTGTGTCGTCTTTCTACGCTTGCGCCACACACTCAGAACTGCATCGAACTATGTTACCTCGCCCGGCCCAGGACAACAAGAATGTATCGGCGATGTCTCCATCTTACAGGCACACTGGCAAAGGATCCTACAAGCATAAAGGAATTTACAAGCACAGAGGACCGGCCTACGATCTGAAGACGCCACAATGTAACTTGAGGAACGCTCCCCAGCCGATCCCAGCGAAGACGGGCCGAGCAAGGGATCAGGGATCCACAACACTAAACCGGAGTTCGGTGAGCGATGCTGACATTGCCAAGACGTCCACAATGCTCACCTGGAAACACGACGATAGTCCGCTTCCGAGAACGAGTACCAGACGTGCTGCAACATGGTCCGAGGCGCACTAACCATTGTGATGCAAGAGCCGCCGTCCCAATCCGAGGTGGAAATGGAAGTGAAAAGACTCGAGCGGCAGGTCTGGATCAGTACGGCCCGGGAGGAGGTGCTACGACGCATGGGACAAACGCACTGACCGGCGGTGTACACGTGTGAGCACGAAGGCTGGCTGTGGTGTCTTGATGACCTTCACGAACTTTGATGTATCTTCGCGGCGACGAGATTGTATCACATAGGAATGAGGCGCATACAGTGTATCAGGAAATGAAGCTCGTTCATTCAAATTGTGACCAACGAGGCGCAAGTGCTCCATGCGCGAGGAATTTAGCTGCGGCGATGCTGCCGCATAGTTGTAACAACTACGATATAGTGAAAACCTCATAATCCTTGCTCTCACCTGAGAGCTTGTGAAAGCATCTTTGGCAGTCTCGCACGATTGTGACACCCGTGCCAGTGGCCTACAATCTACATACGCTGTTAACTGATCTGATCAAGAACGACGCCGCGGCAAGGTAGGCACGGGCCTCAAGTCAAGAGGAATACTCACATACGATTCATGGCCGCAGAATAGGAAGGCGGGGCCCGTCCGTCAAGAGGCATGGCTTGCCTCTTCCTGGTAGCTGACACATTGAGGTAAATGGAATCGTGAGGTTTGTTGACGAGTTGTTTGTGGTGTTTAACCGTCTTCGGGTGAGCCCAACAGTCAGCTGGGACCCAGTGGTTGAAGCTGTCGTGGGCAACCAGAGATAGCATGATGCAAGGCTAAGGGGACGGTGAAGATCTCGCAAAATGGACGCCTCCGCGCTGAGTGTTGTATTATGCTGTACTGTTAGAGAACCTCCGATCGCACTGATACCATCGCATTGCAAGCGCAAATGCCACCAACTCCATAGCATCCAAGTTCATGCATTGCTGTGAACGTCGTCCATGATTTTCTGCACGCATCCAGATCCCGTGACCGATAGTTCGCATAGTAGCGTCCATATCGAACCGTCGCGCACTCGTGCGTGCTGCTGCGATCTTTCCTTTGTCTGCCCACCAACGCGGTGCCAGCCCTCGTATAAGTGCAGAATATCGAAGAGATTCACCTTGCCTACAACACCACGCGCCTCTGTTGCCCCACAAACGTTCGTTGCATTCTCTTCTGGACAATTATCGCCGTCGTTGCCGGCCGTGTCGTTACTTCGCCACAAGTTCGTTTTGAAAAATATTCTGACAGATCGTCTCTTCATCACTGATCGTATCGTATTAGTATGTCTTGGAGTACGCTGGCGCCAAACGGGGTGTTCTATCAAAACCCAGATGCGAACTTGTGGAGGGACCCTGACGCACCGTGTAGCTGGGTTGTGCATTGGCCAGCGACATGCCAGGACGGAGGCTCCTCCGACCAGGACATGCACCTGAGACCAGCAAACGTTACGGCAGCAATGCCACACCAGGTCAGTGACATAACAAGAGCCGTAACATCGTCTGATCTCACCTTTTCTCCTACAACAGCCAATTGGAACAGATGATATCGACATTCAGGCGGTCGAGCACGGAGCCAGCGGGGCAGCCGGCGCACCCGACAATATCGTGTGGAACGACGAGGAGATCATCGAGACATCGACAGCTGTCGATGAGGCCGAGTCCATGGTTGGAGGTACCCTGCGGGGGGCGACGGACCCCTTGGCGTGGCAGGACGACGAGATTTTCGAAACTTCTACGACCATCGAAGAGGCCGAACACATCATTGGCGGCACGATCCGCAGGGCTTATGGGTCTAGGATGCCCAGTGCCCACCAGCGTACAGATTCTGGGAGTACCCAGAGCTCGGCAACCCTCGCGAGCATCCCGGATGCTAGCGTGCGAGTGAGGACTTGGGCAGAGGTGGTCAGAGCCACGCCCCGAAACCAGACTGGAGGCAGGAAGTAGGCGAGCTTCTCCGCGTAGCCGGTAAGTCGAAGTTATATGCGATGAATGGCGCGCATTGACGGGCTGCTCCTTTTCAGGGCGTGCGGTCGACCTAGGCATCCAGTGAAGTACGAGTTAGGGTTGTCACAGAGGCAATGGAGTGGCATAATGCAAGGCGGATCGGAAAACGGTGGAAAAAAGGATGCTCGGCGAACGGCTCGAGCGATGTATCGTCTTGTATTCGCATTTCTGCTCCTATACCATTTCTTTGTTCTTGCAAGCGAGTGCGCCGCCACGACCAATGAAATCGACGCCAGCGCCCGGGTCCGACTGCCCACACGCAGATCCACGGGATTATGTGTTCATCTGTAGATGCGAGGGGACTCGATTTATACCACATTCGACTGCGCGCCCCGTTCAACCATCCAGACGACGCAGGCCCCGACTCGGATACGCAGACGCAACGCGTCGTGTCCCCGTGACCAACGCGTCGCGCCTCAACAGCGCGTAGACGCCCACATCGACATGAGGCTCATTGCTTGTGACCGTCCTCGTCCCTTGTTCTCCTTCCTCTATCGCTGCCGGAGGCTATCAATTGCAAGCATCTCCGAGAAGACAAAAGACGTCACCTAATCCGGGATCTGACGCCGCACAGTACACCTCGGAAGGTGGTGTGGCATCGCTCGTGGGATGGACGCCTCGTCTTGTCGCGACCAAGGTGCGTGTTAAGCTGCCTCATAGCTCATCAACGTTGATTGTCAGGTCCGGAGCACGTTGAAATTAATTGCTATGGCAAGCCTTGTGATCATAGTGGTCAAAAAGCTCCTGTGCCAGGAAATCCGCTCGGACTGGAGCCGTTCTTCGCGTGTAGTTGTCTCTTGAGGAGAGGTAATGCCGGAGCTCTGGTGATAGGTAAGTGGTGCTTCAAATAAAATGCAGGCAGTGTGATCGCTCACGTTGTGCACTATCACGATCACACGACGCGGTCTGCGCCCTCGCACTGCAGGTGTGGCCTCGGTCGAAGACTGGAGGGCAAGGCGAAACAACGGTACGCGCACATAATGAAGAACTCACTTTGACTATAGGTAAGTCTATGCCGATGTACAGAGTCATATAGAATGAGACTTACCAACGGCAGTCGAAGCATAGCGATCTCGGTGTCCGTCGCCAGCCTGACCATCCGTCCTCCGTTCAACAGCTGTACTGAGAGTACGAAGGCCTGTTCGATCGGACGAGCTTCCGCACCTGCACTCGAAGAGATGCGAAGCATGAGCAAAAAATAGTACAGAAATCAAAATAGGGAATGACCCTTGCTTCTCTATTGACCTTCGCTTTCGACCATCAATTGTCTCGCCAACCTTCTCCACTCCGTGTTCATTCACCATAGGGTTATCTGTCCATTCCGGTAATATCAGATAGCCACATCCACCCTAGCACGCCCGGCGGGTTTCTGTTCTGTGAAGGAGCGGCACTGCGAGAGTTCATGGCCTGAACACCATGAGACAAAGACGCCGCTGGATGAGCAATGGCTCACAACATAGCGAGTCTATGAATACGACGAGGGACCGCTATCATGACAAGCTGACCGTACTGCATTCATTACGCCCCATGTCCGATACACATCGTACACGGAGTTCCTATAATCTATGCAGCTTGTCAGCAATAATCGAGGAACGAGACGACAAAGCCTGAGCTCACCCGATCTCGTGATTGCCAACGGCGCGTAAGCGCCTGCACCCTCTCTCAGTCTCCTCGCCACCACATTCTTCTCTGCGCATACCAGCATCGTCCACTGTGACAGAGGCCTCGGGCTGTAAGAACCATCCTCAGCCATACAACAGCTACTTGAGACCTCACCGCCTTATCATATCCTAGTTTGAACACCTCCAAATCGCGATTGTCGTCAGCGTGCCCTCGCCACTGAGTAAGTCTCGACGCGATAGTCCCAAGTCACCGGCCACTGCTGAACAAACATAGACGAGTCATTTCACAATGAACACATCGGATGAATCGTGTTTCATATCCTGTCGCGGAGAACAAGATCCAGAAGCAGCACTACACTTGGACGCACCACAAAGCCCTGGTGTAGTCGTATACAACAATGACGACTCCTCCGACGCTGCGGCAGGCCTGAGAACAGATTTCGAAACGGCAACAAAGCCACAAAAGGTCAGTTGGCGCATGCATGGTACCGTTACAAGATCTGTTCTCACCTGAGGTCGCATGCCAGCCCATCATGACTGAGCAGGACAGCTTTGCGACTCGTTATTGGGCAATTCGAGGCGCACTTCGTCTCGTGTCGGACGGCGTGTTTCCGCCTTTGGAGATTCTGGATGAAATGGGGAATCTCGAGCGTGAGTTCCCTGAAGAGGTGTACGTAATGGAGGTCAACATCCATGCGATGGGCTACGAAGAGGTGAGCCCGTGCAGTAATCCAATGCAACGATGCTTACCCGAGTTACACCGTGGCAGATCATCGCGGGCGAAGACGTGCAGATGGATGGTGAGCTATTCGAAACATCCATATCGATCAGAGTGAGTGGCTGAAGTGATCGTAGGCGAAGACGCAGGCACTGTTGGACATGGTGCTCATCACCGCACAACGTCTGGCAGTACGACAAGCTCTGTTAGCTTGGAAAGCATCCCAGGGTGGGAGGGCGAACAGGCAACCGTGAGGCTGGTCCACTGTCGAGGATCCAGGCAGGAACCAGGACCCGCCGTGTATTAGCTGTCAGTCGCCGGGGATGGAGCACTTCGTGCGCTAGGTTTGGTAGGTCATAACAAAGGCATCGACCAGTAGCACAAATTGACATCCTTGGTTTGAACAAAGCGCGTAGGCCTCCTCACAAACCCTCAAAGGTAAGGAGGGGCAACAGTCGGTGTGGGCTGGGGTGTGGAGCGGGGTACAATGCAGAGACTGTTAGGAACTGATGTCAAATACGGAAATGTAAGTATAATGGATGAACGGCGGATAGCGTTGCACTAGATGTGGGCTTCAAATTTTGCAATTTGTGTCCCAGTGTGAATAAGACACCGCACCTGCGAATGTGAGGATCGTAAAGCCGCACCTCCCGGACAGTCAGAAGCATATCAAAGGAGGTTTGATTTGAATTCGCGTCTCGACACGCCTTCGACCTTGCAGGAAGCCCGCGCTCCTGGTGCATTCAGACCCCGTGACCCGTACGAGGACGTGAGCGCCCGTGTGGCTATCGCACATTTCTGCTCGTCGTCGTCGTCGTCTGCTCCCTACACACATCCACATCATCAGCTTCCATCCGAGAGCAGGTGACTGAGGTACGAGCCTCTCACCGTCCGCACCATACTTCCGTGGTACTTGCAGCCTCTTGCGTTGTTCTACAATCGGCACTTGTCGTGTTTCTCGTTGCGTCGCTCCTCGCTCTTGCGTAAGTCTCGACGCGACTACCTTCGTGTGATCGCCTGATCCCTGATCAGTTCCGTCATAGCACGATTGCCAGCATGTTCGCCCCAAACGGAATGTACTTTCGAGACCTGAACAAGGACATATGGAGACGCGGGGCGCAGAGCGATTGGAATGCTGTGTGGGAGCGCGACGACATACCAACTCACGGAGGGAGAACCACTCTCAGAAACGACATGCACCTGAGAACAAATGTTGTAACGGCAACGACACGACTCCAGGTCAGTGACACGAGCACGAAACCGTTACAACACTCGATCTCACCTGTCTTCGCAAATCCCAGCCGATTCCAGAGGAGCATGCCATAACACATGTCCACACCACTATGCCAGCCAACGATCGGCAGCCAGTCTGGACTCAGCTGGATTGTTTCCAGAGTTATCTGGACATGG